ACTGGAGGTTATTACACTGGGCATAACGTTCTGAGGTTCATCTGTGTTGTACCGTGTGACACAATTTCTTTCCTTTTTAAGACTGAGTAATAGTCCACGGTGTGGGTGGACCACATTTGTTTCTTCACGCATTCATCAGTGGATGTTTGGGTCACAGCCGTCTCTGCTATTGTGAGTAACGCCCCTGTGAACACGGTGTGCAAATACTGGTGTGGGTGCCTGCAGCCGTCTCTGCTACTGTGAGTAACGCCCCTGTGAACACGGTGTGCAAATACCGGTGTGGGCGCCTGCTTTCAGGCCTTGGGGTTGCCTCCCTGGAAGTGGAATTGCTGAATCCTACACGTATTTGCTTTGAAACCGTGACAGAAGGTGATTCCCCCGGTTCTACCTTTGTTTTCCTGCTGGGCGAGGAACAGCGTCCCGTCCAACTTCCACATTCTCAGTCAACAGACACTTGTCTTTGAGAAGGTCACAGGAGGCCTGGGCCCTGCTGGGTAAACATTGACGAGCTTATTTTCCAGCTCACTCGGTGCCGTCTGAAGCTGTTCTGTTGGCTCTTGCTTCCCTTCAGGTTTCTTCATTTCAGCTCCGTGAGTGTTCCACTACGTTGTTTCAGTGACTCTGTGATTAACTGGTTCACAGTCAGCTATGGGGGGTCCTCTAATCTGAGGGGACACTCTGCAGACAGGCCTCCTCAGGGCTCCTGCCTGAGCCTGCAGCGTTTTGTAAGCTGACTCACTCCACTGAAGGTCAGCTGTCACGGGTGTGCTGCAGGATTTGCAGGTGAACGGGAAAGGCGTGGCCAGCATCAGCTCCCTAAGGCTTCTGGAGCTCACCCTGCGCACGGCCTGTCTCGTTGAGAACAGCAAGTGCCCGCAGGAACGTGCACACACGCGTATGTACACACACGCACACATCGTGCATTTCCATGGGGTGCGTGTGGAGCTTGCCTGGCTCTCCTCTCCCTGGCAGTGCTTTCCTATCAAAACACCAGCGCCCGCTCCAGCGTGAGTGCGTGGCCTTGCTCTTCAGTGGTGTGTAATGCGTTCTGGCTCTGGTGGGCCAGGTGAGAGCAGAGGTCTGGGAACATGCTGTTCAACCTCTGTGGAAGAACCTCTATCATCTTAGAATTGAGGGTGAGAGAGCAGGAGGATTCACGCACAACTTCCTTGTACAGCGGAGGTGAGGGGCCCCCCGGCACAGGCGAGTGCCTCTAGCTCTAGGGTGGCTTGCGGGCTTCCTGTTAGAAACTCCATCTATCCCCGTTGGTCAGTGGTGTCTTTGAAGATGCCAGTGACTTTTGTCCCAGCAAACCTTTGAGCATCACACTGTTCAGGTGCTGGCAAAGCTTTGTGGATAAAAGAACAAGTGGAAGACACAGGGTGAAAGGAGAGCAGCACAGAAACAGACACAGTTGCCGCCTTGGGTGGAGTCATGACGTTGCTGTTTCTATGTCAGAAGCCTTGGAGCATGGATGAGTCTATGGCTGGACCTAACACTTCCATGCTTTATGGTAGGAGATTGCACAGGATTCTGAGGAGGGACCTTGTCTCCACCTGGGGGCAGGCGGGAGGGTTGGGAAGCACTTTGGGAAGGACCAAGACTCGCCCCAGCCTTGAGAAGGGATGGGGCTGCCGCATTCAGATATGAGTCTCACGGAGGGGTTTGCAGAGACAATTAGCTGGAACTGAAACGTGCTTTGGGGAAGGGGAAAATGATCACAGGAAACAGACGCTTGGAAGAAAAGTGGCTTTTTGGCTATCCGCAGTGTTCCTGGCATGGGTCATAGTCGCAGCTTGGTGGAGAATCCTCGGTGTTCCTGGCATGGGCCATAGTCGC